ATCTTTGTGTCGGTGTGTATTAGTCGTAGCTGTTGTCTATTGAGTCGGTGTGTATCGACCAGTCTTTGGTGTCTGTCCTGGCCACGTGACACTTACGTTTTCGCCTAAATACACACGCACAACTGTTGGCTTGTACGTTCTAGCTCAGGCGCGTTGCCAATTGCATTGAAAAGCATCTCTGTACAATCACCATTCACAACGGTATGGACCACGCCAGCTACACATGCATGTAATACACATGCATGTACTATTAATGCATGTACTACATTTGCCTCGATTTCCGCAAACCCCCGGCACGGTCGGGTTCGTCAATATCACCGACGCTATGAGTCTGACGGCCATTATGCACATCACGACATCCCAAACCACCAAGTCTAAACCAAACGCCCACACTCGCCCCAACCCCCTCAGGCTGCAACGCGGTTATGCGAAACCTCATGGACACGGCCGATGTAGATGTGCTCAGCCAGTGTGTGAATGCGGCCGTCAGAAACCGTCACATACACACAGTCAAGCTACTGCTGAGTAACATGCGAGTGACACCCAGTACTGCTCTGATAGAGGCGTGTAGGATAGGTCACTGTGAGATCATTGCGCTGCTGCTGGCCAATCGGCGGGCGGATCCAACATTTCGCAATCACGAAGCACTGATGAGGGCTTGTGAGGGGGGCAGGTGTGTGCTATGTATAGAATGGTGTGTGCTAAATATAGACTGGCTGTGATATATATAGATTGGTGTGGGCTATATATGAACTGGTATGTGCTATACATAGATTGGTGTGGGCTATATATAGATTGGTGTGTGCTATATATTAATTGGTGTGCTCTATATATATATTGAGATGTGCTGTATATAGATTGGTGTGTGCTTTATATAGATTGGTGTGTGCTAAATATATAGATTGATGTGCAATACATAGATTGGTGTGGGCTATACATGGATTGGTATGGGCTATATATAGATTGGTGTGCTATATATATATATATATATATTGTTGTATGTTACATATGGATTGGTATGTGCTCCAGAATATAGACTGGTGTCTCAACTGATATGAAATCGTATGAACTGCGCTGCACAGTTCTAGACGATTAACTCATTCCACAGTGGCTAGACCTTTTGAGGGGCTGTATGTATCTAAGGTATAGGTTTTTAGGGTTTTAGGTTTTTGGGGTTTAATTATTCCGGGTGTTGCAGAGGCTCGCACTGAGTAATCTAGTGCGTCCATGTCCTTCTACTGTACTGTACGTACAGTGTTCCCGTGCTTCGGCGTCTCATAACTAGCACGCTGTTGCACTGGAATGTTCCCGTGCACAGGCACACAGTAACTCTCGTCACCTACCCATCCGCTCGCAGCCCGTAATCAACGAGCGGTCCTTTGCTTGTGCTTCTTATACACACATACATACACCTATCTCAACAGAGTCTCAAGCTATCCTTATAACACACATACATACACCCATCTCAACAGAGTCACAAGCCATCCTTCATACACACACATACATACACCCATCCCAACAGAGTGGACGTCTTGAAACTCTTGTGCGCAGACGAGCGTGTAGCCGTGCCATTGAGAAGCATGACCTCTGACAGCCTGACCGACCGACAGGCGTTGTTCTACAGAGCCCTGTGTGCCTCTGCCAAGGGATCGTTGCCGGCGTTAAAGCACATTGTGAGCTGCAAACCCGGAGGCAGTGACATCTCGCCCAATGTACTCGCACAGGTACGCAGGCGTCGAGTGTGCGCATGTATGCCACTGATTGGCCTGTTCTGAAGGCAATGGCTTGTATTTGGTAGTGATCAAGCGCGTGATGTGTGTTTTTATGACGTCGCATTTACCGTGTGCGTGCTTTGTGTCCCGTTTGTTTGTGTGTGTGTACGGACAAGTGTCTCTGTGCACCTCATCACATGCACTTTCTGTGTTGGTTATCTGCGATGCCCAGCCAGAGACCCCTCGACCACTGTGACCACCGTGTATACAATACCTACCCCACGACGCCCATACCTCCAGGTAACCTCACACACTCTCGTATCACGCACTCTCGTATCACGCACTTTCGTATCACGCTCTCTCGTATCACGCACTCTCGTATCACGCACTCTCGTATCAAGCACTCTCGTATTACCCACTCTCGTATCACTCACTCTCGTATCACCCACTCTCGTATCACCCACTTTCGTATCACCCACTCTCGTATCACCCACTCTCGTATCACCCACTCGTAGGAATTAGAATTGGCAGTGCATGGGGAGAAGACAGATGTAGTGGGCTATTTGTTGCAGTTTGACGTCAACATCGAACGAGCGCTGTACATAGCGTGTTGCGAGGGCCACGGCTCCGTTCTGCGCGTGTTGTTGGCCGATGGCAGGCGCAACACTATCAAGGTAAGAACAACGTCACTTGTGTAGATTATAATATCGTAGCCTGTGTACATGTGTACGTACAATGTGAGTGGCTGTCGTGTATTCCTATAGGCATGTGTAACCAATACTCGCATGTGTGGCTCAAGCGTAAGGATCTGTTTTCATTATAGAATAGTGCTTGTCTTTGTAGTTGTCATAGAATAGTGTGTATTTGTATTCATTATAGATTAGCTCGTGTCTTTGTAGTTGTCATAGAATAGTTTGTGTATAGGTGTGCGGGGTATATGCCTATGTATATATAGCACTATTTGTCATCGATGTGACCTGTACGTTTTGTACGGTTTTAGAGCGTTGCGAGTCTGTGCCCGGTCTATGACGTTATTTTCGGTGGTATAGACTAATACGTCGTTGAAGCTTCTCTTTCTGCAATTTGCGTATGTGTGCATGCATGCGTGAACGTGTGGTGGAGGATGGTGTTTACGAGAATGTCTGGTGCCCTCAGTTTTGCCTACCACGCCTTGCGTTGTCTATCGCCTACACTCTTGAGTATGTTGCTATGGTCACAGTTACTCAGTAGTTGTGATACTGTGGGAAGAGTTTCTATTCCTATAACCTTGACCACCCGTATTGTGAACTATGTTCCGATGATCTCCGGTTTATACTACCAGGCGCCTATGATGGCACTACGACAAGTAAGCCGAGTCTATCTAACCTTCTCTTCCTACTAATTACACACCCTTTCTGACACCTTTAAGCCCCATCCCACACATCTAATACTCGCATCCACCCCACAAAATACTTATCCTCAGCAACGGAGCGAGATGTTGCGACGCGCCATCCGGGGGGGGCATGGCAACATCGTACGCGCGCTGTTTGATTCGACTAGTCCAAGTAAGTTTGGCGATCCAACGACATACATCACTGCTCTGGAACAGACACACATCACCAAGACACAGTCCCTGTGGCCACATGGCGAGGTAGAAGTGTCGATGCAAACACACCCGCATGTCAACATGTTGCAACGCAAACAGGCTGGTTTCCGCACACGGCGGGTGAGACAGGAAGTAATCGAACGAGTAGTGAGGCATGCACACAGACGCGCGCTTAGACTAGCACAACCACCCGCCCCTACAGGCACAGTCGTTGGCGGGGGAGTGTCCACTGACCAGGCCATGCACACACCATCGCCTCATGAGTCAGCAGAGACGGGCCCACACACAGCCGAAACCACCTCTCGAGGAGAAACGGTATCATCACAGCCACACCCGGTACAGATGCGAGAAACGTTATCATCACAGCCACGCCAGTTACGAAGGCTTGAGAAGACTGCCGCACGAGCACGTCAAATGTTAGCACATTCTGTCGACACAAACGGCCCTGCTCCATCGGACAGTCGGGGTACCCCAGCCAGCAGAAACCTTTCAGACACACGTGCATCACTTGAACAGACGCGGAGTGTCCCTGTGAGCACCGACAATACGACCACGGCTCATACAGATACAACATCTCGCGCTGCTCTACCTGAGGGTTCGCAGGGTTTGAGTCGTACTTCCCCTGGCGTTGAACGGCAGCCATCGGCCCACCCTACGACAGCGTCGCACGTACGCCCGCAGGATGCAAGACAGCCTGATACACAGCGGAGTGGACAACGAACGCCAACGGCACTAGATTATGAAATATATTTCCGTGACTTGGTAGATCCTAGAAAGCTGTGGAGATTTCAGCGTCAAACGCAGTCACTAACGTGGGAAGTACGCCGAAACGGACTACAGGTAGAGTTACAAGCAGAAAAAGAACTACAAAGGCGTGAAACACAGGTGCTACGTGCAATCCAGATTGAAGAACAAAGGCTATGGCGTGTATGGCGTGCAGCACAAGCACAAAAGCAGGCAACACACAACCGTCCGGACACATACACCTCTGATGCACCCACACATCCTATGACGCCGCATAGTCGTGCCACACGCACACCTGCCGCCATCAGCGCGGATCTAGCGAGGGCCGTTAACAGCAACAACAACAACAACAGTGGGGGGGATCATACGAACACCATTCCTAGGGACATCGAGATGTGGAATGAGGCTGACGTCAAGCAGGAGCGCATACGTCGGCTGTGTAGAATCCATGTACTAGGGCAGAGTGACCCTACTAGTGGCCTTTCCAACAATTTAATAGGCCCAAATGCCAGCAGTGCCACACCTACCGATGCAGTGCATGGTAGCGTAGGGCTGCCACGGGGAGTGAAGATTGTACCAGAGGAACAATCACGACTAACCGGACAGCGCAGGTCATCATCCGTAGCACACCCCCTCACAGACACGCCAAGCAACAACACCACAACTAACAGTAGAATCAACACCACAACCAACACCACAACTAGTACCACAACCAACAACACAACCAACAACACAACCAACAACACAACCAACACCACAACTAGCACCACAACCAACAACACAACTAACATCACAACCAACACTACAACCAACACTACAATCAACACTACAACCAACACTACAACCAACACTACAGCCAATGGCCAGGCAGCCGCTACTGCACGTGGTAATCTGAGGGCAGTTGACGCGAATATCCGAGCGAATGCTACTATGCGAAGGAGGCACAGGAACGATCATACGCTGCGTGCTATGAATATTCACCTCGGCGACATCAAGCGCATGATAGACACGCACTTGGGTGTGCCTGAGAACGCAGCACCCAGCTTTCTGGACCATTTCGATCCCCGTGGCGGCTATATGCCCCCCACAACAGACCCTACGCTCGAGCATGAAGCACAGCCTGGAGAGGTAGGGGCGAGTGCAGTTGCCTCTGAGCGCCCGGCGGTGCATGCGGATGCACTCGACAGTATAGACGCGCACCTGGCGAATCTGAAGCTGTGGATGGAGGGGTATACACCACCAATGGACGATCCCGATGACCAACAAGCCAGCCACAGTGATGTAAGTGGCAGATAGAGGGTGTTAGGACTTTCACACATCCGATATTGAATGTAGATGTGGAGAGGTAATAATTCGGTAGTGGTGTATATACGTGCATATATACATATACACATACACATGAATACATATACATAGATATATACTATAATAAGAACTGTATGAGAGAGAGAGATGGGTGGAGTAGTGAGATGTGTGTTGGAAATCTTGACATCAGAAGTTTATCAACCGTCTTCTGAGGGATGCGATCAGACAGGAAATTACTACATCAGTGCTTTATAGTAGATGCACTCATATTTAGTTATTTGTATAGCAGGTACACATACTTAATGATTTATATAGCAGATAAACACATACTTAGTGATTTATATAGCAGATGTACACAGTGTTTTATAGACCGATGTCCACAGTGTTTTATAGACCGATGTCCACAGTGTTTTATAGACCGATGTCCACATTCTTAGTGTGTTATATAGCAGATGGACCCATATTTAGTGTTTTATATAGCAGCAATAAATAAAGTCAATAAAAGTCATCCGGTGGTGTCACGTCAATATCAATTACTTACAATTAGCCGCACCAAATAGTTTCGTATCACGCGACTCTGGTGTCAAACTCAATCAAGAATCGGTGCTTGGTATACCATATTTGAATGACATTATACTATTGCGCACGGCAAAGCAAAATGTACTCACACATGCTGATAAGTACTTGTGGACCCGTCTACACGCTATAGTGACTATCGTCCATGATATAAGAATTTGCTACACGCGGACCTCCGCGGTCTGCATATCTTTATTCGAATGTCGAGAATAAACTAACGTGGACTCTGAACACCCGCAAAACGAGTATACTTGGCCGTCGCTTCGAACAGGCCAACAGAACACTTCCTTATATCACATACTAAGTCAGTCCGCCACTAGATTGTCTCTGAATACAGAGGAACTATGCATGATATTATACCTTTCCCATGGATTAAGATGTGCACTTATAAACGCGATAGTTGCCCCGGATGGCTGTCAGGGTTAGTGGGCGACTGCAAGAGTTCATAAACGTAGGGGTTGCACGTATTCCCACTACAATCAACCAGTATATCGGGATCTATGCCGGCAGGACTAGTTCTATTGGTAAAATTCATGAGCCAGGTTTCCGGACTAGTTCACACTAATACATTGCTTATCAATCGTTGATCTGTGGCACTTTGGTGTCAACAAACCTCCGACACTCGTCCTCGTCGCGAAACTGGACGATGCAGACACACTTACACGGAAACAGGAGGTTTAAAACACCGATTCCCCCGACAGCGCTACACAGGAGGGCCACCAGTCAATTACATTTATATCGCAATCAACCATGTTCATTTCTCTCAAAATCAAGTCAAGTGGCGAGCGAGCTGATATCAAAGAATGTTGATCTCGCATGTCCTTTGACAGAATGTTAGTAGACCACAATATTGCTGTAGAAAGAAGGGAAGCGCACTACAACAAATTGCCTTGAACGATACCTTGACAAGGTTCCAGCGGTGTGCTATGACGAAGTGTGTTCTGAAAGCCTTACTTGAGTTGAGCGGGTGTAGATCAATTGCCCCACCACAGTCTGACACCCATATCCGGCACACTTATAGCCCTACAGAGGGCAGCTGAGTTTATATCAGTGACTTTGATACGTTACCTTGCATAGAAAGCAGCTTACTGAACTCCCTATGTTGGTGCAAGGCACGATAGCTTCGGCAAGCGCACATACACTGATACAGCTACGTAATATCCCAAATATAGTTTATCTAGTTGACAGGCTCTAATCGAAGTATAATGCGCGAGCGAGCGAAGATTAGTCGACACGGTCGCTGATTCAATACATTAGGTGCCAACAGAGCATATAAAGTGGGCCTATAGCGGCCATCTTCATGCACGATCCGAGTGGCAAGGTATGTAAAGCAGGGTCTATTTGTTTATACTTGAAAGTAATTCCTAATCCAGTACGCTTAAAAAGTGGGCAGAAGGCGAGGAAGCTCATATTAGACGCTATGAAACCAACGAGCCTTTGCCAGTGCTGCGGTGGCAGCTATATTTGTCTAGAGTCTGCAGGGGTGTGCAGGAGACGAATGCGGCGATAATTGTTTATGACCAATGTGTGAAGGGCTCGTTGTGATGCCAGCAGCATATTGCCGCTTCATACGGTATTGTTCACTGCGAAATATTATGTAGGGGATAAGGCTCACACATCATGACACATGTGACCACACAGGCGAGCCTATATTAATATGAGCGATTGCAATGATATTTGGAGGGCACGATTGGGTTGGTGTCAAGGACAAGTATCTTTCCACAACGACTTTAATGTCCAACAAGGGAAGGCTTTCGAAAGCGAATGGGCCGATTAATATCACTGACTCATCGCAGTTTATTGTTCACGTACCGTGCGTGCAACCTATACTACTAACTACCTACCTTTCAACTACGGATTTCGAGTCGACGTAGCTTACGAATAGATACCAAGTTCTGATATCAATGAGGCTACCGGCATGAGTGAGTAAGGGTGTGTAGCTACATAGGCGCACGAGAAGTACCATATAGCACCCGGTTGAGCTACTAGGGCGTTGGGCTGGATACGAAGGCGTGAACATTGTTTCAGATCGTTGGGCCTTACTATTAAAGGGTATTTGACGTTTGGTACCATTTGAAACGTGACTATTCTTGGAAGAATTTCGTCGATTGATTTGTGCAGATACTCGCGCCAATCGCCAAAGTACTGATATGGACTGTTCTTTGAGTGAGGCCAAAAAACCCTTTTGACTGGTTAAACTTGTTTGCGTACATGCGCACTTCTAGTGAAGCCGCGACCCGAGGAGCCATTGTACCGGAATGTGGATGTATGCGGGCATGTGGCTGTCGAGTTGTATTTAATAAACATGCATTCTTTGTGATGCAAAGTCATAGCACGTGCCGTACCTAGCCAAGGTACAATTGGCTAAGCAGCCCAAAGTTACGAATGTGTGAAACAGACCGCTATGTTATGGAGTGCACGGAAGCAGATGTTGTCCCGTGAACTAATAGCGACACCTCCACAGAATGGTGTTTTCGAGCGGGACCGACACAAAGAGATATAAAATGCGTCTCAGTGGGGTTCAATTTGTACTGTTTGCCACGTTTCGTTTGTAAACATACGGGATCCCATTCCGCCGCAGTTCTGGGGGTTATGCGCATACGCGTAGCAGCCTATTCTCTGTGAGACGTAGTGTAGCCCCGGCTGTGGTTTCTGGGCCTAAACGAGCGCCGTTTATCCCTATGGGGGCAAATCGGTGCAATTGGCGATGAAATCCGCGTGGGTGCGCACAGTTTGCGCGCAGTGAGCTAGAAGCGTGGCGGTGGTGGAAGAAGCGACGGAGCGTGGCCACCTGGCAGCTTATTTACACGATTTCTCGCTGTCCTGGCCAGAGATCCGCAGTGGATTTGCACAGTCAACCAAAAGCTATATACGCATGCGAATCTGAAAAGTTTCCACCCATAGGTTGTTCACTCATGAAAGCATCGACCAAAATATAAAGTGCTTGCAATGCAAGGTCAGGGTTCCTCGCAAAGTGTAGTCTGAGGCAATACGCACGGTCAACATGGTCCTCGCAAGGTGACATAGTGTAGTGCAATATTGTGCAAGGTGATTGGGTCGTCTAGCATACAGGTTCAGAAATTCGTACAGTTAAAACCTGAAAACGCAGATGCCTTGCACCGTAAACCGTAAACCATGGGAACGATTCGTCTCTATGATGGCGATGTGCGGACTTTGCTACAGCAACAGGAAACGGCGGCTGTTTTGCCGAGTTTAGTTGCTGCGCAAATGCCAGCCATCTGGACGTATGATGCACAATTGAAGAGAGGTAATGCTGCCCACAAGGCTGCTGAAGTCTCCGAGCCGGAAGATAAGATCAAGTTCAAGACCAAGATAGCCAAGTCCAGTCTTCTCCTCTTTGGCAGGACCATTTTACGGTTGCCTCCTTGCGCCGATGTACACGGCCCAGTTCAGCCCAATGTATTTGTCGTGACACAACACACAGCTGCGACACTACTACAAGTCCGTGTGTTGGGAGGTGACTCAGCACACAGTGAAGATGTATAGCGGCTCATTCTTGCCAGAACCGTCTGTTGCTCGCCGTTCCGCCAAGTGAATATTGTATGGTTAAGCGGCTGGCCGTGTTGCATCACATGATCTACACGGTGGCAGCGGGCATATTGTGTGTTTGCGAGCGTTGGTACTGTGTTAGTGCGTGGCGTATATGCTTTGAGACCGGGCAAAAGCGATAGGCTCGAGGGCATGTACCGAACTGTGCCTAAGGGGTTTAGGGTTTGTTAGTAAACCCTTGCGGGACAGGCTTGGCGGCGCCACTTACAAGAGCTCGAATGATGATGAAAAAAATGTGCCTACTGATCATAAACACTATACAGATAATATATACGGTCGCCGAGTTCAGCATACCCTTACTTCTTGGAGGCATATGGTACTGTTTAAAAATACAAATAAAACTGAAGCTGGATGGTACCGTCCTCCTAATACCGTAGTCAGCACGAAATGGAAAGGACATGGGTCATATCAGTGGGATATATCGCACCAAATGTGTCAGCTGTCAACTGCACATGAATCCATCATGTGAAAAGAATAAAAGGAATAGTGATTGTCAAGAGTAATGAGATCTGATTGGATATTTTATTCAGAAAGTTTATCGTAAGAGTTAATGTAGTTCCTAATCGGAAGCTGCATGGGTTATGGATTGCATCAAATGCACATCATTGTTGATTTACCGAGGGGGTTCGGTACGGTTGCTGAGCAATATCGGAATTCGATAGTACTACAACGTGGAGCTCGAATGCGGAATTACATGCGAGTAAGTTGTATGTCTGTGATCTGTAAGTTATCTAGATCATGCTTTCAGCTACTACTGAGTATTTCACAACCATGTAGCCGAAATTAAGACTGCGACCTGCTTGCCGCAGTGTGACGAAGACAGTTATAAGACGGGGTGCATAGGCCCTGGTCGGTCGCAACGCGCACGAGCGCAGATCACAGTATATACGAAGTACGTCCGCCAGTATAAGCTCAGCTTGTGCGTAGGCGGGGCTCCTATGGGTGTCTTCTTATTTGGCTTTGGGCCAGAGTGGCATATTATAAACGGGTGTATAGCACTCCAGTCACCATGATCTCATGCATGCCTGTGCTCTCCCCGCCCACCAACCGCTTGCCGTTGCTACCGATTAGCCGTCACTGTGAGAGACGAAAGCAGCGTGTGCTCCTGCGGGCCATGTGGGGGTGCATGACTCATCCCGTGGCTATGTGAGTGGTCGTGCCCCGTCAGTTCATCGCCGCGTAGTACACTGTTGGCATCATCCACATCGTCACCCATCACCTCCGGGATGTCCAAGGTCGCGTCTTCCGAGTCGCTCAGGCCTCGCATTATATTCTCATGCGTGTCTGTCCGCGAGCGTTCGTGCAGGTGTTCTAGGGGCAGGTTTTCTAATTCGTGCTGTGCTTGCTGGTGTTGGTGTGCGTGCTCCTGCTGGTCTAGATCATCGAACATAACATCCTCGTCGTGTGACTGCATGTTGTGTTCGGAAGTGTGTAGATCCGAATCGTGGATCAGGCTATGCTCATGCTCATGCTCGTGTTGCAGGCTGTGATCATGGTTTTCAAAGTGCGGCAAATCATCTAATCCAGGCTCTCCCTCGTCTTGAAAAGCCTCGTGGTCATTGTGTAGCTGCACTAACTCATGCTGGTGCTGATGATGCTGTTGTTGCTGGTGCTGGTGCTGGTGCTGTTGTTGCTGATGCTGTTGTTGTTGTAGCTGCTGGTGCTGGTACTGCTGTTGCTGGTGCTCCTGCAATGCCTGCTGCTGTCTGAATCGTTCCTGGCCCTCTCGGTGTTGTTGTTGTAACTGCATATGCAGCTCATGCTGTTCTTGTTGCCGCTGTTGCTGTTGCCGCTGCTGCTGCTGTGCGTCTGCCTGCTGCTGTACGTCTGCCTGCTGCGTTGCTTCTGTGTGCTGTTGTGTATCAGTGATCTGCTGTGTCACTTGCGGCTGCTGTCGAGTGTCGTTTTCCGGCTGCGGTCGCAGTTGTAGATGATCGAGGTTGGACTCCATCTGTGATAATTGTTGATGTTCTAATTGTTGACTTTCCTCTGGCTCCCGATGAGGTGATATCGACTGCCTGTCATTGGCCTGCTCCATCCGCGATTCCACACCCGGTTGTGAAGTGTCTTCGCCATAGTACTGTGTAGGAGCCTCGTGAGACTGCAGCAACTGCTGTGGGTACATATGCGCATACGCCTGTGGTGGGAGATAATCAAACTGTGACGCCGATTGGAACTCTAGCTCCTGGTCCTGGTCCTGATCCTGCACTTGCTCTTGCGGCTGTTGCAGCTGTTGTAGTTGCTGTTCCTGTTGCTGTGGGTGATGCTCTGAGGCCCTATCTTGCAGTTGTGCATGTGTCTGTGCCTGGGTCAATGCCTGTACCCGAGACTGAGCTTGTGAATGAGCTTGCGCCTGAGCCAACTGTGCCTGCCGCTGCTGGGCTGCTTGCTGCTGCTGCTGTTGTTGTTGTTGCTGTTGTTGTTGCTGCTGTTGTATTTGTTGTTGTTGTTGTTGTATTTGTTGCTGCTGTTGTTGTTGCTGCTGTTGTTGTTGCTGCTGTTGTTGTTGCTGCTGTTGTTGTCGTTGTTGTTGCTGTTGCCGTTGTTGTTGCTGTTGTTGTTGTTGTTGTTGTTGCTGGTGTTGCTCTAATACGGCCTGTTGACTGTCTACCTCCTTCGTCTGTGCATGGCCTCCACTTGACTCGTCGAAGGTGTGTGATGAATCATCCAGCGCGTGTGGTGATGTGTTCCTCGACGGGACAAGTGGCCCTGTCTGCGTAAACCTAGTTGGACTGTGTGTGCCTGCCGGACTAACCTGTGTCAGCGACGGGTGCTCCTGCGGTGAGACTCGATTAACATGCTGCGCATGAGCTTGAGCACCCATACTTAGTTGTTGTTGAATAGGCGGAGTCAAACGAGCTTGAGCTTGCGCCTGTGTCTGTGTCTGGGGCTGCAATTGGGAGAACACTGACGACGGTCCTTCCACCACGTACTGCTGTTGTGTCATGCCCAGTAACGAGTGGTGTGGGTGTGGATGTGTGTATTCACCACTGCCCTGCATAGCTTCCACCGATTGTCCCAGTTGCTGCAGTCCGCCGGGGTGTGTGTGCGGCTGTGTGTGCAGTGATGTTTGCATGTAGGTAGGTATCTGTCCTGGTGATTGGCTCTGAGGTGCCAGCACGCTGTCCACCTGTCGCTGCTGCGCACTCGCCTGGGCGTAGGCCTTAGAGTGCACATCAGTTGACGACAGTACAAGCGCGTGCGACTGCTTCGCCGAGTCGAGGTCATTGCCACTCGCTGTGTGTGGGTGCTGTGTATAATTGGTTGTTGGGTGGTCTCCCACCTCCAGGGGTAATTGCGGAATCCCGGGATGCAGCCCACCCTGGGCCACTATATTATTTTGTGGTAACGTACTACTATTTATAGGAACTAAGTTGTGATCGTATATCGTGGAGGGCCCGAGTTGGCCTGAAGGCTGCAGTTGTGGCTGCACATGCACCTGACTCTGCTGTGGGCGTGTGTGTGCCTGAAGAATGGGGTCTGATCCTACATCCATACCCGCTGGTGCTGTGTGAGTAGGTCCCATGATTGTGTATTGGTCATACTGCAACAGTCCACCCGAGTCTTGAGCACCTGAGCTCACTAACATTTGTTGCCCGCTGTGAAGAGGTGGCTGCGAAGGTACCGAACACGATCGCGATCGCTTGACTGAAGTATCAGAGCCTTGTGTGATGGCCCTCCTCTTGTTCTGCGCAGATACCTTCTGTTAAGAATAAAGCGTGTGGCTCGACAATTAGAAGGTGTGGCTGATAAAAATATTCTCAATAAACGAGTCATGGATATTTTCTGCTTCAGACTTCAGCAACAATCAATATACTGCAACAAGAGTAATTTTAGCACACACAAACACTGCACACATACCTGAAAAAAACTGACTAGAATATCCATATATCTACATAGTCACACAAACAGTGTAACACGATATATATATGTTATATATATATATATATATATACAATAAACATAGTAGATATATACATAGATACATAGAAACATAGATACATCCATATATATATATATATACATACATATATATATATACATATATATATATATATACTTAAGCATACTGCATCAAAATACAAGCACACAACCTAGAAGAAAAGATATAAATTTATAAATACACACACACATACACATATATATATATATATATATATATGATTATTATTTACTAATTATACACAGTATATATATATATATATATATATATATACAAATTATATATATATATAAATATAAATATATATATATGTATATATATAAATGTATATATATATATATATATATATATATGTATATATGTATTTATATATAAATACATATTATTACACGTAAATACATGTCTGCATACCTACACCCGCACACATATACACATAATAAATAAATCTACAAACATACATATATATATATAAATATACACATACATATATACATATCTACACTCATAAATAAAATTACACACCCACACCCACCCGTAACTACCGACACATACTTACTCACATACACCTACCTACACCCACACCCACACACACATGTATATATATATATATATATATATATATATATATACTACATATACATACATACATACACACACATACATACATATATACATCAACGCACACACACGCACACACACATATATATATATATATACATACATATATATATATATAAATACACAATCAAGCACACACACACACACATA